CATGGTATATCTTTCCATTTACAAAACTGTTCTTCAGTTTCAGCAACATTTTGTAGGTTTCTCTGAACATATGTGGCACAAATCTGGTTAAAATTTTTAAGTATTTCATTTTTTACACTACTTCCAGAATGTAAAAATGACATTGCTATAGATTTTTGGAAAAATATTTGAGATACAGTGAACTGAGCTTATCTGAGCATGTAATTTGATATGTTTTGACACCTATATGTACCAGTAAAACCACTACCCCAGTTAAGATGATGAGCACATTCACTTCCCCGAAAAGTTCTTTTGAGCCCTTGTGTTATTCCTCCCTGTTGCCGTTCACAGCCTGACCTCAACACTCCTTTTCCAGGCAACCACTGCTCTTTCCATCACTAGGAGATGTTTGCGATTTTAAGAATATTATATATATGGATCCTAAAAAATGTTCTCTTTTCATCTTGCTTCATTAATTCAGCATGATTATTTTGTCCATGCTGCCACATGTATTCTTCTTTTGCCGAATCATATCCTACCATATGGATGTACCACAATCTGTTTATCCATTCAACTGTTGACAGGTCCCCCCCTCCAGTTTTTGGCTATTACAAATAAAAGCTGCTATGAATATTAGTGCACAAGTATTTGTGTAGATACGTCTCTTATTCTCTAGGGTAAGTCTTCATGGGATTATTGGCTGGTCACATGGTAGATGTGAGTTTAACACTGTAAACTCTGATCTGTTTTCCAAATGGCCACATCCGGATTATGGATCACCGTAAAGTGGAAGGGCACGCAGGCCACAAGGATCTGTTCCACATCTTCCGTATACAAGTTGGTGATGGAGAGTCACTCATTTCTCAAATATTATTGAAATGAACAGGTTGGACACAGAGGATATAGCAATGGATAAAACAGTGGTGCTTACATTCCAGAAGAAAAAGCAGACACTAAACAACATAGTTCACAATTACTTGCTCACAGAGAGGTACAGAATGCTTTGAAGTCAACCCAGACTGGGGACTCTCTGAAAGCTTCTTTGCCAGAGCAACAGCTGAGCTGAGTGTTGAAAGATGAGTATGAATTAACAAAATAGATATAATCCCAAGAATCTGTGACAAGGGCCACACAAAAGGAGTTCTGGGTTCCAATTCAACTCTCCTAGTGTGCAAATTGTTAACTGATTTATTCGTATGCAGACTCAAGCCCACTTCCAATTCCCCCCAAAATTAAAATTAAAATTAATCCCCCCCAAAAAACTACCAAAAAAGTAATAACAAATTAATCCCAGACTTTGGCACAAAAACCGGGGCTAGGAGCACCATTACCTTTTATCTTCTGAATCAGACTTAAATTGAGCGCCCTCTGCAGGAGGGCAATGTCCCTTCTGAATAATAAAAACAATGAACAACTCTCTCATGAATCACAGTGGAATCATGAATGGAATAATGAAAAGAGCATTCGTGGTCATGATAACAGTGGTGGCAGCAGCTAACATGGCATCTATAAAGTGCGTGATCTACCTTCTGTCCGTCACACAGAATGCATACTTTCTGGGCACTTGCCATTGGTAGGGATTATGGAATTTCATCTGACATACTTCATAGCCTCGTGAAGTAAACAGTGCTGTTGCCATTTTAGATAAGAACCAACTAGACCCAGAGACATGAAATAACGTGTCCATCATCATAAACTGGTCAGGAGCAGAGCAGAAATTTGGGCCCAGAGTCCCTAGAGCACTAATGGTAGGAGTACCTGAAGAATGTGTATGTTTGCTTTAACATCAAAATAATATAGTGATGGACAAATGATATGCTGATGGCTGTAAGTACTACTTTTGAGGACCAGCAGTCTCTGGAAAAAGTCACTCATGATAAAATCCTCACGGAAGACCACACAGTATCAGAAAAACTTGGATTTGAATCCCAACTCTTCCACTTAATTGGCTGTATGACTTTAGGCAAGTTATCTAACCTTGCTTAGTCTTAGTGTGGAGTGAGAAAAGCATACCCGCTTGGCAGGTTTGGGGAAAGATCACAAGTGACGTATGTAGACACTTATGTGTATGTAAACATGTAAGACAGGAACATATTCAGAAGGTGCTAATGCAAGTTGTTCTTTCCACAACACCCGGGGATTCTCACTAATGGAGATGAGACAACTTCCTGCGCTCACTCCTCTAACAGACAATCACTTCTTTAAAGAGTACTAGGAACCAACGCCAGCAATCAGAGGAAAGAGATAAAGACTCAGGCTCAACTATAGGTCTGACAAAGGCCTAACATTTAGGATCGATAAGGAACTCAAACGTGCCGAAAAGAAAAAAACAAATAGCCCCATTACAAAGTAGGAAAAAGATATGAATAGACACTCCTCAAAAGACATATGAGCAGCCAACAGACACATGAAAAAATGCTCAGCCTCACTAGTCATCAAAGAAATGCAAATTAAAGCTACACTGAGATACCACCTAACTCCAGTCAGGATGGCCACCATCAATAACTCAAAAAACAACAGATGCTGGAGAGGATGCGGCAGAAAGGGAACACTTCTACACTGTTGGTGGGAGTGTAAACTAGTACAGCCTCTGTGGAAAACAGTGTGGTGATTCCCAAAAGATCTAAAAATCAACGTTCCATATGACCCTGCAATCCCCCTACTGGGAATATATCCAGAGGAACTCAAATCACTCCATGAAAAGGATACCTGCACACGTATGTTTATCGCAGCACTGTTCACAATAGCAAGAACATGGAACCAACCATGCTGCCCATCAAAAGAGGACTGGATAAAAAAATGTGGTACATATACATGATGGAATACTACACAGCCATAATAAGAACAAAATCATTAACTTCACAGCAAGCTGGATGGAATCAGAGTCTATAATACTGAGTGATCTTTCACAGAAACAAAGACCTGAGAATCGTATGTGCTCACTCATAAGCGAACATTGAACGGTTATTGTATTACTATAAGAAAAAGATTGACAGTAGCAGGAAACGGCTGGGGGGGGGCATGGGATTGACAGTAGTGGGAATCTGCGGGGGGAGGGGGGACACACTTCATCAAGAAGGGTACCTGCATAATGAACATTTGTATACCTAAGTCTGAACTGTACCCCACATCTTTAAAAGTAAAAAAATAAAATGTTAACATTTTGAATATGTTAGGGTTAAATAAAGTATATTATTAAATCTATAAAAAAAAATTCAGACTCAGTTCCTGGAAGTTTTGTAAAACTTCCTCTCATTAACATATTTTTTGTTGTTTGAAACAAACTCCAGGTTGAAAGAAATCCCAGGAATACATTGCGTCCACCTTTCTTTCATGAGACTTCCTTAGACCAACTGAAAATACAGAAGAGACAGCGCTTGACAATCCTGGCCCTGTCATTCTGAACACTCCCCTGCTTCATCTCAGTTTTGCCACAAAAATAAACACACGGGTAGAGTTTGAAGCCATTATATGCAATGAAGGGAGAAAATACTGGCAGAAAAAAATAGTCATTTTCCATGACTTGGCTAGAAAAACAAGCAGGCAATTTGCTTTTTTTAAAAAAAGGAAAAGACAGTATACAAAATATCATCCAACATCTAGATGGTATGATGTAAAAGTCATCTCCTACAAATAAAAACAAATCCAAAGAGACAGATGTAGGCTTTATTAGTTACTCTCAGGCCTTTCACTGACCAATAATTTTATCAACCAGAGCACCACATATCAATCTATTTCATCACAATTTCTTTTACACTCAAATTAAGCTATATTTTTTTTAAACCTGGGGAAACGTGAGCTTTTCATTTTTTAGTGGTGGTAATAGTGGGGGGAATGCCTATTCTTTCTCCTTAAAATCCACCTTCAATTTAAGAATTTGAAAATAAATTTCCATAGTAAATATATACACCAAATATGACTTCATTTAATAAATGTCATGATTTCTTAAGAACCCCAAATTCAACAGATCCTGAGTTAAGCAAAGAGAATGCTCACCTCTCTCCCAAAGGCAGGGTGACCATCGGGGAGAGCCCTACCCTTTACCCATTCTGCACATGATCTGATGCCACCTTGACCCCACAGCCACAGGCCCCCCGCCTGTCGTTACCATGTGTCTCACATACGCCCTGACAGGGCCCATCAATTCCTATTGCTTTTCACCAGGCCTGGACTCTGGCACTTTCCCTTGGGGAGACCTTAACTGGTTTCCATACTTAACCCCTGAACCCAGCTGATGGATTACCATCAGCCGCACCAAATGAACAGTGATAGGGAATGTTAATCCCTGAAGACAGGCAGCCAGCCCCTCTCCTTAAAACTCAGAAGGAGGCCGGGCTCAGTGGCTCAGCCTGTAATCCCAGCACTTTGGGAGGCTGAGGTGAGTGGATTGCCTGAGCCCGCGGGTTCGAGACCCGCCTGGGCAACTTGACAAGACCTCATCTCTACAACAAATCAAAAATTAGCCAGGCGTGGTAGCGTGCATCTGTAGTTCCAGTTACTTGGAAGACTGACGCGGAAGGATCGCTGGAGCCCAGCAGGTCGAGGCTGCAGTGGCTGGGAGCGGCCACTGCACTCCAGTCTGGGTGACAGAGTGAGACTCCAACTCAAAAAAAATTAAAAAATAAAAAAAACTCAGAAGGAAAGCCAGCAGCAGGCTCTGTTTTGTCTGTCAGTGTCGTCAGCCTCTTCACTTACTGAGGGTTAATTATGGTGGTGCCCAACTGCCTGAGTCTGGGAAGTGCTATTCAAGGAAACATCAATTAAGCACTCTTTTGAAAGTGGCTTCTAGAACTCTCCTCGGGAGTTCCCAAAACGAGTGGGAGGCACAGTCGTCACTCTGGAATGGGGCTTCCCCAAGGTTTTAAGAAAGCTTCATAACCCACACGCCGAAGTACAGCTTTCAGACTTGACTGGGAGACTTCAGAAACTGCGACTTTGGAGAATGAACGGTATCTTTTTTAGGAACGACAAGCCGTAATAGGCAGTCAACACCACGCGTGCTCTGCTGGAAGCCGCCTTACCTCACAGCCAAATTGCAGCTCATCGGAGGTCAGCATGATGATGTCATCATCGATGGCCAGAACAGCCTCAGCTTCAATTTCGTCGTAAGGGAAGAAACGGTTATTCAATTTGTTTTCAGCTGTCCTCCCATCTTTCAGTGGAACCTGGATTTGGGGCCAGAGAGAATCTGGAAAAAGAAAAAAACATGGTATTGACTACTCCCTTCACTTTGGTGAGGAGTTAAAGTGGTAAAAGTATCATCTCACAAGCGAGATTGAAGAGTTAGCAAATATCCATGGCTCTTACCAAATTCAAAGGTACAATCATGCAAGGGGAGAGACTCTCACTCCCCTTATGATAGAACATTATAATAAAAATGCATACGCATAACACACACACACAATACTTACACACACTCTGAATCCTAAAACACTACTCATTCTCAATGCTGTCTTAATTAGAATGAGCGCATTGGCTTCAACTTACAATTGGGAGTCAGAGAAGTAAAATGACCTAGCCAAGGTCACAATGACAGGAAGATAGAGTCAAGACTTCCTCATTGTCAGAACCATGGCTTTAATATCAGAACTCTCCCCACCTCTGCAAAGTAAACACTCTACAAAACACTTTCATGTAGGTACATCCCAGCCCAAAATCTGCAGCTCTGCTGGGAGATTCAGTGCCTGTGCTGAAGACATAAGCCTCACATACCTGCCTCAAGAACAATCATGAACAGTCATCAGTGCTACTGGGTCCACCCCCACCAAAACATGTTTCACAGACTAAGTGTTGCTTTCTTAACTCAGCACTTTATCCCTGCCCCCCTGACTCACTAGGTTTGGTTTCTCATCATGACCAATTTACAGAGTAAATATCAAATTTCTAGGTTCAATTATGTGGGATTTTCTAGTATACTGAAGAAACAGCAATCCATGACTGCCTTGCATTTTTTCCCATTCTACTTTCTGAAATGATTGGAGCAACTCAATCACAGGCTCTTTATTTTACACAATTGCATTTAGCACGGCATGAAATTAATTCTTTTTTGGCACGGTACCCATGTCCACAGACTTCAGAGGGCAGTCTGTCCTCTCACAACAGTTGTCCAATGATAACAGGCAAGTTAGGTAGCATACTGCTGTCAAAAAAAAAAATCCCTATCATGTAATGATGGAGAAATCTCTTTTTTGTGGGTCATGTTCATGGCCCCTCCAAAGTCACCATGCTGAAGGAGAAGTAAGACAGAGGAAAAGTCAGGAGAGAAAAAGGCTGCCTTAACTGACTGCAGATACAATGTCTTCCTTCTGCATACTGTATAATACAGCCCTGTAACACATGGTTAGGGCACTCCCTAGTCACAGAAGGAGACTGTTCAAGTGAGAGGCCCTGTAGTTAAGGAAGATACCATTTCAGAATAAGCACGTGGCATAGAGCCTAAGAGTGGTCAATGCCAGAAAATAGCATGTGTGGGAAAGAAGTGAACTGGAGACCAAAGAAATGACCCTATTGGCCACTGCCTTTCTTCAACAACACAGTTAGTGACAGTTTCATTCCTGGTACATAATCAATAAATGTCTTCGTAATAAATACATGGGTATATGATTTAGGATCTTCCTTCCTTCCTTCCTTCCTTCCTTCCTTCCTTCCTCCTTCCTTCCTTCCTTCCTTTCTTTCTTTCCTTAAGGATTTAAAGCCTGAGCTCTTTATTTTCTATTGGATCTCAAGTCCCTTATTCTCAGGATAAGAACAAGCAGAGAGAGAGAGAGAGAGAGAGAGAGAGAGAGAGAGAGAGAGAAGGGGGACTTGATTAAGCAACTAGTATATGTCAGATGCTTTATAGATGCATTGCCATTCAATCCTCTTGACAACCTTGCGGAGTAGAAATTATTTATGAAGAGTATTTACATGGCTCAGAGAGACTAAGTAATTTTCCCAGTGATACACAGGTAATAAGTGGTAAGGCTCGTATTTGAACCTAAGTCTGTTTAGCATCCAAGCTCAAACAGGACCTGTACCATATCCACTTGAGAATCCCACATTTCTCTAGATCTGAAACAAATCTAGGAAGGTTCAGCAACTTTCCCTAGCAATCATCCTTATTCTTGCTTGCTTTCCACTCCCTATTTCAGAGAAATTAAGTCTGTTACATATCTCCTGTTCCCAAATCCCTACAAAACATGAATAAATTATAATATCTAAAATGAAGGAGGTTATAGCCCTACCTACTAGACCAGTAGTTCTCATCAAACTTTTTGGGCTCAGAGTCCCTTTATGCTCTTTGAAAATTAATAAGAATCTCAAAGAAGTTTTGTTTATATGGAATACATACGCACACCCACTACTTACTATATTAAAAATTAAAGCAGGGGGCTAAGTATGGTGGCTCACACCTGTAATCCCAGTGCTTTGGGAGGCCAAGGCAGGAGTATGGCTTGAGGCCAGGAGTTTGAGACCAGCCTGGGCAACAGAGTAAAACTCCATCTCTACAAAAAGATTTTTTTAAAAAACCAGCTGGGCGTGGTGGCGTGCACAGGTAATCCCAGCTACTCAGAAGGCTGTGGTGGGAGGATCGCTTAAGTCCAGGTGTTCAAGGCTGCAGTGAGCTATGATCACGTTAATGCACTCCAGCCTGCACAACAGTTTTTTTCTATCTCTAAAAAATTTAAAAATTAAACTCTACCGTACACTGTAAGAGAATAAAAGAGCAGGAAAGAGAAATAATGACTTAATATCGAACTGCCATGCTAGACCATGTGTTCCGATTTGGGTTCCACAATATAAGCAAAGTACTAGCAAGACTGGAAAACAGAAGGAGTAATGAGGACAGCGCAGGTGCTGAATCCAGACTTCTGTAGACGGCTTAGAGAAACCAACATGTAGTTAGCGCTATTTTGCTGGTTGGTTTCTAACTCAGTCTTCACTGCCCTGTTTGTGATACTCGAGCTGGACCCCGTAAACCTCTCTCCTGTGCCAGCTGGCATGACCTTAAGCTTCGTCAGCAGAGGGCACTGAAGGGCCACTGGGATGGAGGACTTTCTTCCTGATTCGGGTGTCCCTTTTTACCTCTTGCTCCTGCAGGGCCAGGCCCACAGGCAGGTGGGCAGGGGTATTTGCCTCTAGCGTGTGTAAGTGGCATTCTCCCTAGGGGTGACTTCCCTGTGAACCTGACAGCACGCCCACGGGCGCCTCCCAGCAAGCTCTTGGATGTTCCACTAGCCACTCAGTGGAGGCTCGCCCCCATGGTGGTTCTAGAGGGGCTCCCTAAAGCCCTCATGGACTTCCCAGCAGTTCACTAACACCCCTGGGCAACTTCGGGTTGAATTCCATGGGTACCACAGAAGGTGGGTGACTTCCTGCTGTGGCATCTCAGCAAACCTACCATCCCTTGAGCTGCAGCCCTCTTCTCCCAGCAAGGTCTAAATCTCAGACTCAGCTGGGGAAGGGGCTCTCTCAGGTGTATTTCCTATAATCTTCAGAGTTCTCTTTACTCTTTAGTAGACAAATCCTGTTAACTACTTCATAATTCATCATATTAAATTTTTCCTCTTCAAATTATTGTGTGGCTTCTGTCTCCTAACTGAACCTTGACTAATATATTAGCAATATCAGGAGTTGTTCTCTATGGCCTCTAGCATTCGAAGCATGACCAATGGGCGGGTGAAAATTATAGGGAAATTGATTTAGACTCAAAACAGGTAAAAACTTCCTGATGGTATAACCGTTTTAAGATGGAGTGAATGCCTTCAGCAATGCAGTGTGACCTTTTACTTGAAATGCACTAACTTAGGACAGATTTCTACTTGACATCAGGTGAGAGAATAAACAAAATGCCTCTGAGGTCTTAGGATTCCACGAGGCAGGAGTAGAGCAGCACAGAAAAAACAGAGTCCTTGGAAACAGCTAAAGAGCCCAGGTCCATCACTTATTAGACACGTGACCTTGACCAAGTCAGTCACTTTGAACTTGCTTCTTCAACTATGAAGAAGGAACAACACCCACCGTCTCGACATGGTTCACTGTGAGGACGAATGTGGAGCATTTAGCAACACAGTGCCTGGCACACGGCAGACAATCACGAAATGCCAGCCGTGCTTTTCCTGGAAAATCCGCACCTACTTACAGAACCAGAACATTTTTTTGAGCCTTAGCAAGTGGTAGCAAAGTGGTACATTTCAGATCTGGTACATCAGTGGCATGCCCCTGGCTCATGCCTTCCACGACCACTTTTAGAGAAGCAGGATCCTTGCCATTAATCCTCTCAACCGAGAACAAGTCACACAACAATGAAACGAAAGAACGTGGAACTTTGGCCACGTTCATTCCACAAGGCAACAGACAGTTCCTCTTTTCCCACTGTGTATAGGAGCCAGGCTGGGTACCTTGATTATGTACAAATATGCTTCTCACTGGATGGAGTCTGGACGTGGGGGTGTGCACAGTGTGTTCAATCCAGACAGCTTTCCAGATTCTTCACCTGCAAATATCCAAAGAATTACTTGAGACAATGTCCACAAGGAACTAACTTGTCCCGTAAAGTCTTTGATGGAGAAGTTTTAAAGAGTGATGATGGCCAAGGAGGATGATTTGGGGCTGCAGATAGAAATGCAGAAAGGATCATGGCTTTTTTTAGAAACATAATTACTTTTTCCTGTTGTAAGTTAGGCCTGGGTAGCCAAATGTCAGCTCTAGTAAAAGGAGTCTCCATTTCTAAGGCTAGTTGTCCGGGGACCATCACTACCAACAGACAAGACTCTAAGTAGAACTCCCAGCTTTTTGTTTTCATTTTCTCAAATTAAATGGGCCTCCAGGAAAGGGAAGTACCATTCTCTCAGGCTTCTACAGCATCCCTTCTGTGGTAGTCAGAAATGAGAGGGCGGCCATCAAAGAATAAGCACTATCATTACACCCTGCCCCTAAACGGATGATCCTGTGATGGTATTAGGATTCTAGAAAGGCTACTTTTTGAAAAATTAGGCCTGGAGCAGTAGAGGAAGAAGGGAACACAGGTAGGAAAGAATAATTTTTGTGGAAGAGAAAAGAGGATTTTTTCTTCTCATTAGTATTTTCAAAATGATAGCTTTGCTTTTTCTGTCTCTCTATCGGTCCCTGACAAGGATCTAGTTCTTTTACGTAATGCCAAAGCAGAGAACTGACGAAGCATGATACCTTTCCTACGACATGGTCTTCTATGATAAATAGACCCTGTGGGGCTTAGCACAAAGGGTCTGAGCTTTGAATCCACAGAGACCTGTGTTTCTTTCTAACTCGACCATTTGCAGCTTTGTGATTTGGACACATTGTTTGACTAATCCCAGCTTCATTTTTCTTTTCTTTTCTTTTGAGTTGGGGTCTTACCTAGTTTCACTCTCCTCTACCCTCCCCCCCTTCTCTCCCCCGTCCCCTTCTCGCTTCTCCTATCTTTTGAGTCGGGTGCTCAGGTTCATTTTTTTTTTTTTTTTGAGTTGGAGTCTCACTCTGGCACCCATACTGGAGTG